TTTAATAACCATTTTAGAATTAGAAAAGTAAAAAATTAATAATTAGGTGTTTGTTTTTCTGATTTCTAAATGCAATTGCAAGGAAATGGCACAAAAGTTTTGAATTAATTTTAAATTTTTAGAGTCTTTAAAATCACCTTTATTTCTGAACAATGTTATCTAAACACTATAATCTATATTCCAATCACAATGTGTTTAGAACTACTCACTTAGGTTATGAAATTTTAAAGTCAATACCTGGCAAATAATCCAAATGAATTTTATTATACCCCTAAGGAGAAAATATCTGTAAAATTACTCCAAATGTTACTAAACTTTACATTTATCTGTATTTACTTTTATGGAAGATTATTTTATATGAATGTATATCAGTGGCCCTAAAAAATAGTTTTGTACTGATTGTTAATGTTATACTCTCTGTTTTATGATTTTTTTTCTGAATATAATTTCTAGTGGCCTCAGTACCCACAGCCTACGCAAATGAACATGTTTGCTTTTGATCAATTCCAGTTATGATGACAGAACCGAGTCTTAGTGTTGATTGTTTAATTACTTGTTTATGGACTTGGGAGCCCGTCTCGGTCTTCTTTGCTCAAATCTGCTATTTTCATTTGAAATTATATGATAAAAACAATAGTTCAAAAAATGCAAATGTTTGATCTAATATGTATATGCTTATTTGTATAAGAAAGAGAAGTGAGAATTGACATCATGTGGATACTCAGTCATATGTTTAAATTTTCTCCCTTTTTCTTCTGCAGCTTTTTTTTTTTTTTTAAGAAAATGATAGGATTGATTTAACATAGTGACATCTTTCTGTTCTAGGGCCGTCAAATAGCATGTGCCTTACTGCACTGGGTTACTATTGGCCAAGCCCCATGGTTTTGTTTGGACTTTTTCATGACAACAATGACAATGTCACCATCTTTATCTCTACCATTGGTGACAATAACCATACCACCATGCTGCTTTATGAGGCAATAACTTGGTTTTCTCATTTATCCACTCAGGAACTGGATTATTACCTCATAAAACAGTGTGATTGTACAATTATCAATTAAATCCTGGCTTGTCGAGACGCTTCAAAAAAAAAAAAAAAATCCCTTTTCCTAATAGTGGTTGGCAATAATTCCCTCTGTCTGAATCCATAGAACTTTGACTTCCAAGGTGATATTTTTCACACTGATTATCTATTATCTGATTTTTTTTTTTTTTTGCCTTGAAGCTATTGCACGCTGCTAAACCTCAAGAGCTGTCTTATGTTGTAGAAGGACTGAAACCGTATAGGATATACAAGTTTACTGTTTCTCTTTGCAATTCTATTGGTTGTGTAACCAGTGCTTCGGGAGCAGGACACACTTTAGCAGCAGGTAAGCAAGTTTTAATGGACATGAAAAATTTTGTTATGTATTTAAAAACAAACACCCGAAAAACTCAACACGTTTTCTACTTGGGACTTAATATTTGTCTTTTCTGTTTTCTCCTGACCCCTTCCTAACCCTGATTGCTACCTACCTTGACATTTTAAAACAACAACAAAAAATTAAACTTATAAGGACCTATGGATTGGAACTGTGTCATAATAAGAAATAAGTGACACCAGGGCTTAGCCATCAACCTATGTCCTAGCACTGTCCTGACAATTGTGAGAAATGTTTAGGAGGCTTCTTAAGAGGACTTAAAGATACCTCTTCCATAAGTCCTCACTTTTTATGTGGGGTTGGGTCTCCCCACTCTTATCTCACGCGGACATCCCAGAATTACTGTGCTGTTCTGATGTTATATTTGGCCTTTATTGGTTAGGCAGTTGTTTACTTACTATTTTATTTATAATTAGTAAGAAGCTCTTAGGTATAGAAAATTTAAATAAAAGAGTTGCTAAGAAATATAATCTTAGGGCCAGGCATGGTGGCTCACACCTGTAATCCCAGTGCCTTGAGAGGCCAACATGGGAGGATTACTTGAGGCCAGAAGTTCGAGGCTAGCCTGGGCAACATAGTGAGACCCCCATCTCTAAAAAGAGAAAACAAAAAAATTTTTTTTTAAATTATCGAGGCATGGTGGCATGTGCCTATAGTCCTAGCTACTCAGGAGGCAGGAGGATCACTTGAGTCCAGGAGTTCAAGGTTAGCTATGGTGACATCACTACCTAAGCAACAGAGTGAGACCAGGTCTGTAAAAAAAAATAGGATAATCTTAGTAGGAAATAGTTTGTATAACTTTTGCTTACCTCACGTAGAACTAACTACATTTACTCAAACCTGATTACATATATTATTAAGAACGATATAATGCAATTAGCATTTAATGTCTTTTCAGATCGGTGTTTTTCTGTCAGCAATTCAACAAGGCCTAGTTTTCTGATGCTCTTTAAAGAAGTGTCTAGATGTAAGGAAGTTTAAGAGATTCCTAGATGAGTTACAGATATTGTGAAAAACATATACTTATCTTTAAAAATATTTCCTAGATGTCCTCCCTAGTGTCTTCATCCTATTATTAATAGGTTCCATTTGGTAGGGTTTTTTTTTTTTCCCCCCTGGTTCTGGAAAAACTTGTTTAGCTCAAATGATCTCATCCAAGTAATTTTGTTTCTTTAAATTTTTCATCAGTGCAACCAACTCCAAAATTCTAAGAAATTATGATTTCTTATCTCTATGACTTAACTCTTTGTGTTTTTGTGTATATACTCTATGTGTAGTTCAGATGTATGTATACATTCATGAAGTACCTAGCTTGTACAGAACACCATTTCCCTATAAAATTGTCTATTATTTTTGGTGTACTATATTATTAAAGGGTTAACAAACTAAAGCAACTGAATGTAGATAACAGTGAACTCTGTCTCCTTTAGAAAAAATAATGATAGAGTTTGAGACTAGAGAACAAAAATTAAAAGAGGAATCAGTCTTGCAGGATGGAGAAAGTGAACACGGAGACTTAACACAAGCTGGAGATTGGCCTGAGGTATAGCGGAGGGTAGGGGGACCCCAGCCATGTGACTGAGGAGAACTGAAATCTTGTCTTCTCAGGGCTGTAAAACATTTAAAAGTCTTCTAGTGTGCTTATGCAGCCAACAGTAATATATTCTTTGTAATGTTCCCCCCAAGTGTTTGCCTAACCTGTGTTTGATACCTTTAGTTATTGAGGAGTAAAACTAACCAAAGCCCTCTGAGTCCTCTCTCTACCCTTTTTTTTTTCTTAAAAAGAACAGAATCTCACTTTGTTGCCCGGGCTAGAGTGCCGTGGCATCAGCCTAGCTCACAGCAACCTCAAACTCCTGGGCTCAAGCGATCCTCCTGCCTTAGCCTCCTGAGTAGCTCGGACTACAGGCATGTGCCACCATGCCCGGCTAATTTTTTCTATATATATTTTTAGTTGTCCAGCTAATTTCTTTCTATTTTTTTTTAGTAGAGATGAGGTCTCACTCTTGCTCAGGCTGGTCTCGAACTCCTGAGCTCAAGCCATCCACCTGCCTTGGCCACCAGAGTGTCAGGATTACAGGCGTGAGCAATTGCGCGCAGCCTCTCTCTCTACCCTTTTTATCCTTGAAAAATAGAGCTTGGAAACTTCTCATATTCTTTAAAAGCCATGAGATGAGAAAGTTAGTTGACTTGTTGAAATAAAGAGTTTATTCATATATTTAAGGGAAAAAATTATTAGTCAGAATACCAGGCTTTGAATTTGGGCTCTGCCATGTACTGTTCATAGCTGTGTGACCTTGAGTATATTATGTAACCTCTGTGTCTTAGTTTTCCAATTTATAAATAAGGATAATTTATCTTGTAGCATTAGTATGAGGATTAGAAAGAGTTAATACATGTAAGATATTTAAAGCAGTATTGATCACAGAGTCAATTCTCAATAAATCTTATTCTGATTTTTGTCATAATATTCTACAACACTTTATCAGTCACAGTATAAATGTTATGGAATCTAATGCTATCAAAATCAAGAAGAGTTTATTTTACAACTTTGGTTTTATAACATTATTATAACATATATGCAACAAGGGAGAGTCCTAAAACTAAGGATTGCATTGTGAAAATAAACTTTAGAAAGGTTTAAAATCTGAAAGCATTATTTTATTTCTGTAAGAAGTATGTCATTCAGAATTTTGATGTACATTTCAAAACTTTGCTCAAAAACCATAAATTTCAAATTTTTTGTTTGCAGTGTAGTTAAAATAATGTGCTATAAACACATTGTTAACACATTTTTACAACATTTGATTTTGAATGCTCAATTCAGAAACATCTGTTGAGGGTTTACTATTTAAATCACTATGGAGGATTCAAAGATAATTCATACATAGTGTTTGGGTTAAGGAGCTAACATCTAACAGGCAGGATTAACAAGATGGGGACATGTGCTAAGGGCTGTGAGAAAGGTAAAAAGAAAGCTGTGGGAATTCAGAAGACAGGATAGGATAGATGGCTTTGAGTTGGAAGATTGGGAAATTATCTCATTAAATGACACTTGAGATAAACTATGAAGGATTGGTAAAGACTTTTGCAGGTATTGACTGAGCACATGGTAATGAGCTAGTCACTGTTTTAGAGGCTGGCATTGTTTTGGGTACTGATGCGGTGAAAGCTGAGATTTATGAAGACTTCTCTGGCAGTAGAGTATACAGTAGATTAGAAGACAGGGTGTAAATAGAGTCTGATATTAACATTTAGGAGGCAATGCGGGAGTAACTGAGATGAGTAGAAATGAAGATCAAAAGAAGAGAATGGAGTGGCTTCAAGGAGGAGAGACTCACAAGTTAAAAAGAGGGAAGAATTGACAAGGATAGTAAATATTGTAGACCATGGTGGTGCCATTAAATAAAATGAGAAAGATAAAGAAAGAACATATGGGAGAAATAAACCCATGAGTTTAAGTCTGATCACTTGATAGAAACATATCCATGACAGTTATAACCAGCCAGCAGCAGAAAATGCAAATCTGAAGCTTAAAAATAATGCAGACTTTGTGATCATCTGCCTGTAGACGGGAGCTAAAGCTATGCATGGTAATGAATCAGTGAGATGTTCTCTTTGGACTTCTACATCTCTATTACAAATTTTGTCATACAAATACAAATTGCAAAACTGTAATACAGCTGTAGAAGTCCAAAGAGAATATCTCAGTGAATGCTTATATTTTGGGAGAAAGAAGAAAGGAGAAGGAACAGAGAAATGGTCAGAATGAGGAAAAGAACTGAAAGGGAGCAGTAGCAGAAAAGTCAAGAGAAGAGAGAATTTTAGAAGGAGAATGTTATGTTGTTTGTGGGTCATATGGTGTAGGGAAACGAAGAGAAAGGTGAACTAAAACAGACGTGGGGGGCACTGGCGACCCCCCGGGGAGCATTCTAATTAGCATGGTTGAAGCAGAAGCTGGGACATAAGGGGCTGGGCAGTGGCAGAAGATGTTAACGGGAAATTTCAAATGTGCGATTCTTTATTCTTTGCCAGAATGTTCCTTCTACCCAATTTCTATTTTTTTTAAAAAAACTGCATTACCTTCTGTTTCCATGTAAAATTATTTCTTTTCTGAAGGAAAAATTACTTTAGTGTTTTTCTGGGAAAAAAATGTTTGTTTCCTAAACCCGTAATATATTTTGTCAGAACTGACTCTTCATCTGCCAAGCAGAAAATAAGGTCACTTACATGACAAAAGTACGGGGAAATAATTTTTGCTTGCAATTTGATTTATTATAAAATGCATCCTTTTGAGGGGTCTTCAGACCAGTGAAAATGAGCTTCTTTGTTTTTATTTGAATGCAAGGAAAACCCACCAATTTTAAATCCAATATCCTTCTTACCTGCTTATTTGGTAGATGAGTAAGTGTTATTCTAAAATTTTCCCAAGATTAAACATCTGGATAGAATGTGTAGAAATAAACAATGAGAAGGACAATCCTTTTGAATGGCCACAAATTTGTTGTAGGAAAGAAAGAAAAATGGTCTTGAAACTTTATGATTCTTCCTGCTCTGTTTGTAGGGTATATATTATTCCAGTGAATTCCAATGGATTTGTGGGAAATTTAACTCTTAAGTCTCATGTAGTGATATGAGCTCATTATCAGAGATCAAAAGAGACCAGCAACCATTCAAAAATTTTGAAAAGGAGCATCACAAATTAGATGTAGTAATTAGCCTTTTAGAAGCATTGAATCATGAGAAGATACGTTGCCTCCTTGAATCTCCGTCGCAAAAATCAAAAAGATACTTGTAAAGATTTATCTGGCTGTTTCATTAAAAAGCTTGAGAATTATAATTGGCTCTCTCTTATTTTAAATATATTTTCAATTAAATATATGATTAGAATTGGGTACATTTCACACAGAATATTGCATTGCTGCTTTGTTGGTTTTGGCGCCTGTGAC